TATATAATATTGTAAAATTGCAATTTATACATTTAACACCTTACGTTACAAAATGTAGCCATTGTCATAGGAAATACTTTTCCAGCGGTAAGATAATTCGATTTATTGCTTCTAATTAATAAGACAATTAAGCATTTTGCGCTTTTTGGTTCTAAAGTATACCATTTGTTGTTATACACAGCACTATGAATTTGATCGCACTGAAAACAGTTAAAAAATTTTAAATTTTTAGTTAAAGTATTTATTTTATATTACGTATAGTTTTTTATTTTATATTTAACAATTAATGTATTGACAGTATATAATTTCTATAACTGATAGAGATGGGAAATTCTAGGAAAAATAATATTTTTCTAGACATTAGTACTAACATCGTGAAAATACAATCTTAAAATAAAAAAAAATATTATTCAACTTACTTGTGTCACTAGAATTTCTCCTACAGCACAATAGACGCACATATGACCAAATGTGTTGACAAGAATACATACTTCATATGTCAGGTGAGTAATTGATATATTATTCCCCTTTTCTATTAACTAAAATGACACGTGTAAATAAGACATATCCTTATACAATTTATTTTTCGAAGAAAATTGTATTGTTGATATTAAATATGAAAAAAAAGTAAATTGCATTAGATGAATAATAACGTTAAATAAATATGAAACGTTGCCAAAAATATAAATATAAAAATATTTTTTTTTTTTATTACTGTAATATCACAAATTCAAAGATGAGATAAATATGTGAAATATTTTTAAGCACTTACGTTTATTATCAGGAAACCATAACAAGCAAAAAGTATACCGAAATATAAAAATAATACTAAGAGAATTATATTGTATGTATCATCTATAACAGCGATGGCTCTATAAAATGATATTGTATGTATTTATCTTCGATTAAAGTTGGAAGAATATATGAGGATTCATGAATAATAGTTTTAAAAACATTTTCATATAATGGATAAGAAACATACAGTACTCTATTATAATTTGTTTAATACATAATTAATTAAGTCAGTACCCACAAAGTACTCACAAAGGGTTAGCTTAACCCCTTCGATTTTCATAGTTCAAATGTTTTTTTTATCTCTTTTCACTTATTGTAAAATGTGTTTTGTGCAATGACATTTTAAACTTTCTAATTCAAAAATTCTTTTTTTTCAGTTTTCAAACGATAGATTAAAAAAAAATTACTTAAAATCGATGCATTACAATTTGAGATACAAGCAAAACAAAACGCCGGATTACAAATATCCAGATGTGGGTAGATAAGAACTTTTATGAGATGTGGGTTAATACATAATAATTTAATAAAATAATATGCAGAAGTATGTATAAAACATTTATTGAATACCTAAGTAGTCGGATGTGATCTATCACATTCTTTTTTAAAATGTCATGGAAATTGATAAAATTATCCAAATGCGTAATACGATATCTAAGAATTTCCAGTTGGCCGCAAATATGAAACACCAATAATCCAAGAAAATTATCAATACCAGTATATGACAAGATAGCAAAGAAAATAGCAATACTCTGAATAAAGAATGTCAATTCGTATTGTGGTCTCTTTGACACGTCATAAGGATAATACGTTTGCAATGGCAACAGTTTGCCTGGATCAGTGACATTCGTCAAATATCTGATTGAGATTCCACAAATAGGTAAAACGACAACGAAGGTAAATGCTATTGTCATTGCACTATATGCGCACATAATAATTATACGCGCGGTTTGCGCTCTTTTGATCATCATGCTTCGCTCATATGCATTTTTCAGTCTTTGCCAATCCTCCGCGATCATGTTTAAAATCCATAAAATAGCTTTAAAAGTCACAAAATTGTTTAAATTTAATTGTTTAAAGTTTGTTGCTTATGAATAAAAAATTATTTATATATATAACAACATTTTCGAATAATATTTACATCGCAGCGTGTAAAATAAGAATTCTTTTTCCCAAATTTTTTAAATAAAATAGTTATTGTTCTATCATAAAATCTATTATATGTTTCATTGAAATAGGGGATTATACAATAGTAATTGATAATACAATACTATTTATTAGTATTTTGAATGAGAAATTATATAAGATAAGTTATATTTACCTTTTTTTTTCCACCAAAGTATTATAATTCTGACAGCACAAGTAATAGCCGGTAGAGTAAATTGCAAGTTATCAATCAGTAGCATAATATTCGAATGAATTCTTATCAATGAATGTATTGAAGGAATCAGAACACCGATTATTATTATTAGGACAATAATTAAAGGGTGAATACTATATGTTAACTTCTCTTGAATGTTGTATTTAGTTTTAGGCCAAAGCCCAATTAGTTTTAAACTCAAACGATTTATCTTCACGGCCCATTCGAAATCTATCTGTTTCAAAAAGTATTATAATAAAAAAAATATTATAAAAAATGTAAACAATAAACACTAATAAAAATATCAATTAATTATTAGATTGTATTTTCTCTATCAACTGATAATTTGTGGAAATTTACTATAAATATAGAATAGAGAACAGTTTTTAATGTACTTTGTAAATTATTATGAATTCTTTGTAAATTATTACGAAAAATTAATTATTATCTAATAATAAATTATAACGATACAAAAGTTTTACGTTGTATTACATCTATCATTAAAATTTATTATCAAAAATAAGATAAAAATTTATTGTTGTTTTATATTTACGGTTAAACAAATAGTATTAAAATATTGTAAAAACATAAAATATATATAATATAAATG